CGCGGACCCTCACGGCTGGCCCGGCCGGACCGAGCCGAGCCCAGGCAAGGCGAGCCCAGCCCCGCTTAAGTTTAAATTTAAGTTTCTCCAGTTGGAACAGACAGGGAAGTTCATCTTGTTGGTCTTTACGTGGAGGGCTTGGTTTATTTCTGGTATTTCTCAACAAGGCTGGTCCTAGGCAGTTGGACCAGATGAAAATGCGTTTAAGGGGATCACAGAGGGATCTGATTTAAGCTTCTGAGCTGGTGTGAAATCTTTGTTCTGTAGTGATGAGAGATGAGTTGAGGAAAAGGAGCCTTTCCCCACTCAGCAGCGGGTGGTTGTCTTAGATAGACTTCAGTGCACAACTCTAATTCCTGACAATTTTCAGGACAGCTTTTGGCCATTTCTTAGAAGAACAATACCCTCCCATTTGGTAATGATTTGGTTTTTGCTTTCAACGTGCTTTTTCACTCTTGGTGGCTTGAGTGTAGCTTTGGTACTGTTAACAGTTCACCCAGAACAAAAACTCTGACTTTTTTGCTATAACTGAGTTCTAACTTAAAACTTTTCATTCATTTCTGATCGCAGCTTTGAATCCTCTCATCATCTTCAACAGTACCAAGTTAGAGCTTCAAATCGCTGTGTGTAATTGTCAAAGTCTCAGGATTTTGCTGAGTTTACATGTCACATTCCCCTGCAGTGTCTTGGAGCGTGAACTTTTACCAAAATGTCTTTCTTTGCTTTTGTACAGTCCCTAACACAAGAGCAGTCTAATCTTTGTGTTCAGTTTTCTGTTACTATTGTACTTACTTATCTCTTCATCTTTTACTTACTTCTTTTTGAAGAATTTGTCTCTTTTTCCTCCTTCCCACTGTTGAATGTGGAATTACTTTATGTAGATCTCATTTGCTTATCATACTTCTTTAACTTATGACCTGTAGATAGGAGGCTTATGGAGTATCTTTCCTTTTTGCTAGCAGCTACTTTAAAGTCTGAAGTCCTCCTCAAACAAGTTTTGCCAGCTGTTACAAATCACTCATTTGACCTCATCCCTATTTCAGATGTTCTTTCAAGGCAGCTGTGTTTGATCTTCTTGCCCAGCATTCCAGGTATTCCTTGTCTGTAAATCATGTTAGTGTGTTACCTTTGCCCCAGTGGTTACTCCTGATGTGCAGGGAGGTAATCTACAATAATTCCTTTGGTTTTGTCTTTGAATATTTCCCATCTCCACAGCAAGGTGGGCAGAAAGCTCTGGCCTTTTCCATGTGCTCTGAAGAGATACACTGACTTTGTTCCTTGATGTCTGACATATATTGAAGTTTGTCTTTGCCTTGGTCAAAACTACTTCTGTAAAAAATACTGAGTATTTCCTGAATTCTCTTTCTGCTTGGGTTCTTTTAAATCATTACACTCCCTTTCAGTCTTATGAGGAATAGGTGGGACTGCTCATAAGAGGCCTGACAACACAGACCCTTTTTACTCTCTGAAGACAGGTAATTGCAATTTTGGCCACCTTGTTCAATTTGTATTTACGTCATTTAAGTTATCTGCAAAATAGCTGTGATATTAAGTTGATCCCTTCAGGAGTGAGAAGAAACTTAAACAAATTTTGTAATGTGCTTTCACAACCACTGAAATGAAAAATGTTACTGGCTTTTTGTGCTTCACCTGCCTTGTCCATGTGGCTTTCTGCAGCTCCAGATTGTGGCTCGAGGCATTCAGCACTGCCTTTTCCTCACCTTAGAAATTATTGTAGCGCCTTTCACCCACAATATGTCAGTGCCTAACCAGATGTACTCTAAAGACCTCTACAAAAAAATTCACATACACTTCTAGTCTACAAGAAGCAGCAGATATTTTTATAAATTTTACTTATCCTTAGAAGTTGTGTATGTGGTGGGCATTCAAGTGTTTGCTTTGCCTCCATTTTTGTATTTCCTTTAAAAAAAAAACATAGGTGTTAATTCTGTAGATTACAAGAGTGAAACAAGAATCAACAGTGCAGAGGATTCTCACACACCAGGAACTGAGGAATTCTGAGAATTTAGGAGCACCAAACTGTTGTCTTGACTAGATCTTCCTTAGGGCCATAGCCTTTGGTGTCTGCTACACTTGGATATTTAAACTATATTTTTTCCATGGTACAGTGGCAAGTTTTAATCTTTTGTGGATCTTGGGTGCTTTGGGTTAGCTCTTTTCCTTCCATTTGAGTCAGAAGCGCAGTGAGTTTGTGTTTGGCAAGCTGCAGGATGCAAATGTTGAGTTTTTTGTCTCTTCTGCAGGTGCTGTTCTTTGGATTTGGGTGGCTTTTCTTCATGCGAAAGCTCTTCAAGGATTATGAGGTGAGAAGGAACCTTTCATTACAAGTCTGTATCTTAAAAAATTGCTCCCAAGTGTAGAAATATTTTTAAATCTGCATTTAGCCTTATTCCTCTCTTTAATCCCTTTTTATCTTATCTGCAGTTACTTTCTTTTAAATTTCCTCTTGTGCTTCTATTTGAAACACTCCTAGATGTCTGAGGAAATGGGTTCTCCTGTGGCCACTGAAAGCTTCTATACTGGCTACTGTTAAATAAAAAGAAATATGGAGGAGATGCAGGGGTAATAGGAAATGGAGGGAACTGCTTTGCCTTTTGCCCTAGTAAGCCCACCTTATATAAAGTGAAATTTTTGAGACAAAATCAGAGTCAGTGGCTAACTTTAAACTCAGTGAAATGTGTCAATTGCAGCTGATTTGGTTGTGAGGATTGGGTGGGATAAAAACGTCGTTCTCTTATCCTTAGTGGAGTATGAGATTGTAGTCTAGGTCAGAGATGGTTTAAGTGGAAGCCAAATTCAGACCCTATCAACAACTGAGACACAGAACAAGACCCCAGCAGTTTTTCTCATATGGATTTTGTTTTTAAATCTAAGGTTAATATCAAAGAGCTTGCTTAGTGTAGGAGTTTGCGCTCTTGTTTTCCAAGAGACTTTTGGCTTCCTCCTAAGCAGATAAAGGGCTTGGTTCCTTTAAGCAAGAGACCCAGTTGTGGGCCATCATATCTTGTGATTTGTTTTTTTATTTGAGGGATAACAGGATGCCAGTCCAGAAATGTAAATGCCTGATGTCTCTGGATTGTTCTCTGCATTGCAGGTGCGACAGTATGTGGTGCAGGTGATCTTCTCTGTGACTTTTGCCTTCTCTTGTACCATGTTTGAGCTCATCATCTTTGAGATTTTGGGAGTGCTGAACAGCAGGTGAGTCTGGGAGCTCACTAGGGACTGGCCTGCCTTGTGCTCTGCAGCATCTTCAGTCTTATTTCTAAATTAATGGATTAGTCTTGGTTTGGGGAAATTAGGGGAGAAAAGTGTCAACAACTTAATAAAGATGTTTGTGCAGCAACAGTTGTTTATTTGACAGAACGTGGGACTAGTAGCCATAAGCTTCCAATTTGGTTACTAACATGCAATTGCTATTAACAATTGGTGTAAGTCCTTAGGGCTGGGCTTTAGCCTTTGGCTTTATCCATTTGTGAAGTTAAAAGAAATAATTTCTTTTATGGAAGTATTGTAACTCTTCAGATCATGCTAAGAGCACTTTTCATATGCTAAAGATTACAGAAACTTTAAGCACTGGTTTTTCTTTGGTGGTCAGAGAAGTGGATAAGATGTGAAGATAATTGTGAAGTGAAAGCCACATCTCTAACAATACAGGATTTGTCAATCAAAGGTGAAACCTCTCTTGACAATAGGGTGAGGACTTCTACCTAAAGGGGATGTTAAAAACTGTCTTCTTTGGAAGTCAGTAGGAAAGAGAAAATAGCCTCTACATGAGTGTTCTAAGTTGGGTTTCTTCTTATTCTGTCTCATCATACAAGTATAAGAGAGCAGACAAAGGGGTTGAAAGGCAAGAAGTACAGAACTGATAAAAGGTAATGTTAGTTCTGTATGTTATTAATATGTGGGGCTGGCAGCCAGGGAGATTACTGAGGAGAATGCCTTTAAAAGCTTCAATTAAGAGCTAGACTTCAGTAGTGAAAGGTCAGTTCACCCAAGATGAATCTCACCTGCATTTGACTACTGTAATTTGGTCAGAGGAGTATTGATCATGTTGAGATATATTTGTATTTATAAAACCTTGCTTTGCAAAGTCTTGCAGATGAGACAATTCACTCTGAAGTGAAACATGCTGAATTATCAACATTAAATATTTTTAGTCCTTTCAAAATGAATTAGCTCTTTTCTCACTCAGCTGTTCATTAGAAAATTAATTACCGCTTCTACTTAGTTTTGATTTACTGTTCAACTAGATGAGCAGTCAGTCACATGAATCATGCTGCAACTGGCATTAGTAACCATAGAAAATACAGTATTTGATAAAATACCCAATGTGGTTTTCTGGATAGTTGTTTAGTTTTAAATGCACATTCCTGACCTCTGTATTTAAAAATGAAACCATACAAAATCCCATACCAAACAACTCCCTCTCCTCTACCCTAATACAAAAAAAAATTCCAGAACATTCTATATTCTAAGACAATATTATTCATTGCTTGATGTAATTGAAAAGATTTCACTGACATACAGTTTTCTTTGAGAAATTTGTTGTATTATGATATCGTGCTAATCAGTGTTTTGGTTTTATTTCAGCTCTCGATATTTTCATTGGAAGCTGAACCTGTGTGTCATTTTGCTCATCCTGGTCTTTATGGTGCCCTTCTACATTGGTTACTTTGTTGTGAGCAATATCAGATTATGTGAGTACTTGGTTTGTGGCAGGGGAGCTGCTAATTTGAGACTAGGAATAGAAATGAGAAATAAATTTGGTCACTGTCCTTGTACTTCGCTCTTTGACCTGTCTTTGTTCTGGCTAAATACCTTTACTTTAGAACTTTATGCTTTATCATGAACCATTTATTGAACAGTCAGGAAATGCTTTGCTTGACCCCAGCAAATGCTGCTTTTCTTCACAGGTTTCAACAAAGTTGAGCACTTCAGAGTAATATTACTGGGATTTGTTCCTTTGCAATTTTAAACTTGCAGCCAAACTCTGCAACCCTTGGCAAGGCTGTGTTGTTCTGCTAGGGGGCAAAAGAAATGAGGCAGAGAAGCTCAATAAATCACTTAGGAAGCAGGAAAGCACAATAAATTACTTTTGCTTTTTTTGTTTCCACTTGTCTGGATGAGGCCTCTTCCATGGGCTAATGGACACTTAACTCTTGAGCTGTTGATACTCATCACTCTTTTGTGTGAAGCTTAGGCACGTAGGTCGGGAATATTGAATGTGTAGTTTTGCCATGAAGATGAAATATTTAAGATTCACGTTCAAGATCACACAAGAAAGCAGTGAAGTGGTCCCGTGTGGACCCTAGAGCCTTGTGGGAGGTGAAGGGGTGCACACAGCAAGCTGTAGCTCTGTCAGATGACACCTACTTTGGCACCTGTTCTCAAAGTAGTGTTTAGATCAATGTAGAAATGTTGCAAGCTATAAAAAGCCCTAAAAGAAGAACCTATTTCAAGCACTCCCTTTTTCCTCTCCATTAGTGCACAGACAGAAACTACTTTTTGCGTGTGTTGTGTGGTTGACATTCATGTATTTCTTCTGGAAGTTGGGGGATCCATTTCCTATCCTCAGCCCAAAACATGGTAAGTTTCATTTTCTTGCTGATTTTTTCTCTCCTGAAATAGGCTTTATTATTTCACTTTTATTTTGGAGCTGTTATTATCTCAGCTCTGCAGCTGAGACTGTAGAAAGTAGTTCTTGGAGCTGAGGGTCTGCTCTGCTTTGAAATCTGCAATTTAAAGGTTGTCAGACTGACAGAAATGGTTGGATACACCTGGATTATTTTCATTATTTTTCTTTCAGTACCACAGGAAAAATTGAAGGAAGCAAGTCCTAACTGAACCTAGACAATGCAGAGGCATGGTGTACTTCTGAGGGCACAGAAACTACACAAAAAGTTGATCACAATTTTTATTAACTTCTTTCTATTGTGGAGTCTAAGCCTTGATTATTTAAGAAGCAAATTCTTCATTTTTATTTAAGATTTAAGAACATATTTAAGAACCAATTCTTCATCTGACTTTTTTTCAGTCAGGTTTTTCTTTTTTGTGACTAAATTCAGATGAGCTTAGCACGAGTGATTGTCCACTTATGTCCAGAACACAGCAGTGTGCCTAAACACCAGAGCTGCACACACTGTAGCCAGCAATGGGCTTGGAAGTTGTAATGGCTTTGGTACATATTCCTGCTGTGCCTGAGTCCAGAGGCTGTGGAGTGTGGGTTGGTAAATCCTGCTGGATGCCAGAGCAGTTTGTGTGCAGAATTAGCCTGGGTGTCTCTGGTCATGAGTATTTACAGTGTGAAGATACTCTGCACTTGGGCTAGTTTGGGTCCAGCAGAGTTAGTATGTGGCTGGCTGTGCTGAAGGATTGTTAACACTGTTAGAACCAGGCTATTTGTGACCTGTGTAACTTATATTGCCCTTCTATTTCCCCTGCACTGGAAAATTGTTTGGATATTGTTCCCAACAGATGAAATTCAGTCAGTTTCACAGAAATTGGTGAATATGTCTGTCTGCATACAAAATGCTCAGCTTAGTCCTACTGTTCTGTGGGAAGCTGCTTGACTCTGTGCTCACAAGAGAAGCTGAAGGATACCAATGAGTGTAGGGTCTACTCAGCCTTTCAGCTGTGATCCTGAAAGTTTCCTAAGAGAAAATGTGTGTCTGTTTTGTAATTGTGTAATTTGCCTTCAAAATCCAGCAGTTGATGTATAGTGCAGGTCCCTCTGCCCAGTGTTCATTGCCAAGAAAGACTTGTATCCATTGTGAGCTGCAGAAGGTGCTTGAGTTAGCAGGATGTAATAATCCAGTGGAAACTTAGCCATGGGGTTTGGTAATCCTCTTCAGGTCACTAAAATGTTCTGGGAGGCTGTGTGACACCTGCCAATTTCCAGAATGGGTAGGAGGGTGTTTTCTGTTTTTAATTGTGCTGTACAGGGTGTGATACCTTCACTTAAGAGTTTTACAGTGCCTTATCCTACCAGGTGTAGACATGAGGTTAGAGCAAAGGTTCTACATGTTTATTCCGTGCTGTATTGTTGTGGTGCTGCTGTCCTACATGTACAGACAGGGTTGTTGTGGGTTTCATCAGGGAGTGATGACCTAATTCAGGCAGGTGAGGATGGGGATGGGGATTCTCAGTGTCCTGCAGCTGAGAAGTGCACCACTGAGCAAGGGGTTCCCTTGGACTGCAACTTACTTAACAAACGTGAATTTGGGAGCTTGTAGCAGAAGGAAGGTTATGCTTAATGACACACCAGTATTCTAACAAAGCTCTTACCTTTTTCTGAGGTGATGGAACATTCATTCAGTTTATGTGTGAGTTTCATGGGGGGGAAGCATTGCTCCAACCAGTGGAATGTAATGTCATTTTGAAGGCACCTCTGTTTTAAGTGCTGCATTCTGACAGTGTGTGGGGCAAAAGGCCAGTGTATTGTAGCACATTCTGTAGCTCCTGTAAATCTCTGTGCAGCTGCACATGACTGGGTGTCTCGGTTTCCCTTTGTGAAGTCTTTTTGCCTTGTTTTCATCATTCATTCCACTTCTCTGAAGCATGAAATGTGGCTTGGCGCTCAGCCATCTCAGCTTTGCAATCGTGTAAGCTTTAAATGTGCTGTGTGTGGCATCTGCTCTATAACCAGCTCCCTAAAAAGTGAGTGGTGTTTACTACACGTGGCACTGTGTCCTGGGAAGGCAGGTTGAGGTCTGTGTTTAAGAATAAGTGCAGCTTCAGTGCTTGGTGATAGTTACAGCACAGGCTTAACGTTCATGTTGAGTTACATGTTCTAGAGTCCACTTGGTGCTCAGGTAGAAGACCTTGTTGGTGGTCACCTCAACAATGTGTTTGTGTCAAGCAGATGTACACTGAACAGCCAGGAGCAGTTTAAGCTTCCCAACTCCACTGTCCTACAAGCACAGCTAGTATCTGATCTGGAGGGGTTGCTTCTAATGGGATGGGGGTTCAGACATTTTTAGGCCAGTTTGCCAGGACCAGCTGTTTTGGTAATAATATCTCATAATTTCAGAAGTGTCTTTATGGAAGACACTCCTTTATAAGTGCCTGGTGGATGATCTGTGTTCCCATCTCAGCAAATGGCAAACCTTCTTTATTAGTTTGGAACCAAAATATTGATATTTATTCATCTCCACATATCCATATATCTCTGTTAAGTTTATTTGTAGCTGGAGTTCCTCATCCCTCTTTCTAAGCATGGTAATGTGATTTCTGGAGGAGACTTCCTACCCCTTTCTTTTCCTAGTCACTGTCTGTCCCTCCTGTTACCTGGGGTCATTTCAGAGGGAAGGCAGTCAGATTAATTAAGCAGCTCTGTGTTCTGTTAGAAAAGCACCAAGTGTGGAGCAGAGTGAAGAGAACAAGGTTGCTGATGCTATGTTTTTCCCTCCCTCAGGAATCCTGTCTATAGAACAGCTCATCAGCCGTGTTGGTGTGATTGGGGTGACACTCATGGCTTTGCTGTCAGGATTTGGGGCTGTCAACTGTCCATACACTTACATGTCCTACTTTCTCAGGTAACTGCAGCCTTGTGAAATACTTGTCCAGCTTTTTTGAGATTATTTTTTGCTTTTCCTGTGGCATTGTTTCAAGTTTTCTTGTTACTTTTTTTCTGAATCTAGCTGTTGTCATGTCTGCATGCTAGAACCATTTTCACTGCTGCTGCATATTCCCCTTACAGAGGTTTTTCTTTGTCTCATGGGCATGTGCACATTCCCACTGAAATGGGGTAGCAGGCTTAATTGGGGGTCTCTGTTTTGCAGGAATGTAACAGATGCAGATATTCTGGCATTGGAGAGACGACTCCTTCAGACTATGGACATGATTGTTAGCAAGAAAAAAAGGTGAGAGGACAACAGTAGCACAAAATTGTTTACCTCAAGGATTTGCTGTCAGTATTGTCTAAGATGGTTGTTGAAGTGGTATAAGAAGGATTTTGAAATCTGAAGTGGGTTGAACTGTGTGGTGTTTTTTTCTGGCCTGATACATGATTTGTTTTAACACTAAGTAGTGCCCTTTGTGGCTGCAGTGGCACAGATTAGGCTTCCAAGACCATTTGTAGCTCTCTGCTGGCAGTTTAACTAATCTGTGGGATGGGCATCTTACTCTCCTGCCAAGTCAGGCACCCTTAGGCCTCTGCAGCTGGCTTTTAATTGTGGTTTCAGGTCAGAAAGTGGTTTGTACATAATCCTGTACATGATCCTGGTCAAAGCTGAAGCAGGGTAGTGAGCTGGTGTGGACACAGCTGTATCTTGCAAACAGCAAGGTTTATGTTGGTTAAGTTTTACAGTATTGTAAAACACCACTAAGGTGAATATTCTGTAGTACACAAGTGTGCCATCACAACTCTGCTGGGTTTAGCTTATCCCATGTTCCCAAGCTAAAAAAAACCTACTTTGAGAAACAATGTAGAAACAAATATTTCATTTAGACTGGAAAGATTTTTGTCTGCATATTTTATACCCATATTGCATTTTTCATGTCTTGCTAGTAGTGCAGAATAAATCCAGTTACTGGAGTCACTTTAAAGATTTGACTGTCTGACAGAACAGTCTCCTGTTAAGTGGTGAACAACTGTTGACTCTGTATGTATGTTCGTGTGTAAGATAGTAAGTAGTGAGAGAATTTAATTACTCAAGTTTAATTGATTTAATTGGCTGGAAGCACACTAAAAGACTGCCTTTGAAGTTAAAAGATAGTGCTGTTTCTGACTCTGCTCATTTGTTTTGTTTTGTTTTTGGACTTTTGGTCCAGGGAGAGTGATGTTTGGGTAAAAGTCAGGATGCCAGAGGCTTGTATCCTATGACCAGGAAATCTGAATATGGCAGCTTCCTGACCATTATGAAGAGCCATGTATTAATCACTTGGGAATTATAATGAAGCTTCTGCATATGGGTTAAAAAAAAAAAATAAATCCCAAAACAAACTGCAAAACTAAGTAGTCTCAGAATTGTGCAAGAAATAGCAGAAGTTTGAGTTTTGTAAATTTTGTTCTCTTTTTTACTTCAGTGGGGATCAATGGCTTGCATGATTGGACTATTTGCTCATATAAAGCTGAATTCAAAATCTTTAAATTCATAGGTACATAGATATGTGTCAGTCCAAATGCAACCAAGTAATTGGCAGAACAAGTGGGAATAGCAGTGTTTCCCAGCACAGGGTAAATGCTACATAATCCATAAATTCTCAGTGATGTGCTGGCCACCTTCTCAGTACTACTGAGAGCTCAGAACTTATCAGTTAGCACAAGATTTGTAAGGCAATAGAACATAAAGCTTTTTGTTTTCTTTGCTGATCCTGACATTGCTTATGCCAACCCTTATTCATGCTGGTTTTCTAGTCAGTAGGAGATGGTGAAAGTTGTTTGCCCTGATGGTTTTTGCACAGGAATCACTTTTCTCTCCTTCCTGAGCACAATTCCTTATGGAAACTCACCTCTAAGGCTGTCAGATTCTCTATGCTCTTTCTTGCAGGTGTGGCATAAGTAATCCTCAGGTTGGAAATGCCAGCATTCTGATGGCATTGCTTCATTTGGATCATGTTAGAGTCAGATCAGCTGATGTGACACACAAATACCACACAACATCATTACCAATCTACATGCACAGAGTGTGTGGGGTTTGCCTATGGGTCTGACCTGTGAGGGCTTCAGAACTCCTGCCCACTGAGTGGGTACAGCAATTCCTGCCACCCCTCAAAAGACATTTGCCTTTGTGTATCTATAGCCTTGTGCTTCATCTGGACATTGCTGCATTTTTTCTGCAGTGCTCTGGATCATTTGGGCAGGACCACGTGAATCTGTGTACTGCGAGGAAAGCAAGGATTAAAAATGCATTTCTTACATTTGGCAGCTATCAGGATTCCAGGATCTCTGTAATTTGTAGTCTGTGGCCATATGTGCTTTTATGTGTATGTAGGGTGCCCCAAGGGTGTTTCTTTTGCTGATGTGAAAGGAATGATGGAATGATTTTTAATTTTTTTTTTTTTATTACACTGCTTATCAACAGCCTTGAAGAGGGCTCAGTGCCAAATGTAGTGATGCTGGCTGCAGCTACAAGAAAGGGGCTAAACACCACAGAATCATGGATCATCCTGAGAATCCTGTGAATAGTTTTCAGCTTAGGAATGGATAACTTGCTTACAAATTTCAGTGGGGAGGAATGTGAGGGAACGAGACCAGAAGCCAACACTGCTCGTGAGGATTATGCCGCGGTGCACGTGGAAGTGTGAGGGATGAGACGCAGCTGCTGCTGGAGTGTTGGAATTAACTTCAGGAGTCACATTCAGATTGCCTGAAGCATCCAGTGGTTCAGTCCAAGAATGGATTTGTGTGTTTCTGCTTCATAACAGCTTGTCATGCAGCCTAGCAGTGAGTGACAGCATATCAGAGTGCTCTGCACACCATCCGGAGCTCATAGCTCCATGGAAAAGGCAGATGTGCTGTGATAAAGGAGAGGTGTCCAAGGGGAGGGAGGAGCATGAGAAGTCTTCTAATTCCTGAGCTTGAGATAACACAGTCATGTGTTTGAGGAAAGGAAAGCAACTTATCATATGACTGAGAAATTAGTTTGAATTCTGAATTTTTAACTGGGTTTTAATCCCTTTAGAATTGAAACAGGATCCTGAATGGAAGACTTGGGAAGTGTCTCATTGGATCTCACTTGATTAGTGCTGGGCTGTACTCCAGAGCTAATCAGGATAATTTTAGGTAGTGGGATTGGTGTTTAGGGGAAGAAAAATGGGACATATATTTTCGGTAAATTGAGTCTCACAGAATCTTCTAAGAAACTGGTCGATTTTTGTTTTCCTTTTTCTTGTTTTGATTTTTTATAAAAATATTATATTCCTAAGAACTTGTGTTTTCTGTTCTTTCAGGATAGCAGTGGCTCACAGGACAATGTTCCAGAGAGGAGAAGTGCATAACAGACCCACTGGCTTCTGGGGAATGATAAAAAGTGTTACAACATCTGTTCCTGGCAGTGAAAGTATCCTTCATCTGCATGCTGGCACCTACCTTGGGAGGTGGATCCAGCTTGCTTTGTTTTGAGAGGTAGAGTGTTGGGAGAGTCACAAAGCATTTGTGTTTCAACACATTTCAAGACTAGTGTCTATTGGGAAGTTTGTGCTCCAGTCTGTCCACAGGTCCCCTGTCTGACCTTTTCCCCAGGCCTTGGGCACAGTTTTACTGTGACACAGGCAGAAGTTTTATGTTTCTGTCCTGCTCTATAAATGTTGTGTTGCATCACCCTGGGTGAGCTGTACAGTGGATCAGGGGACACTTGATGTGCACACTTACCACATAATCACAGAATGGTTTGGGTTAGAAGGGACCTTAAAGATCATCCAGTTTCAACCTCCCCTGTAGAAGGGATCTGTTGGGAATGACAAGGGTCTGTACTTCTCTAACAGATTTGCTTACTAATGATTTCTGTCAGACCATTTGAAGTGTGCATTTTGCTTATTTGAGGCTGAGGACTCTTCTTCCTCTCCTTTCACACTAGCTGCTAAAATCAGAATTTGGCCATTTGAAAGACTCTCCATAGTAATCACTAATCTCTTGGAGCAGTTACTCAGCAGTTTTGTTTATGAAGATGATCTGAGATGACGTACTGTGATATGCGCTTCAGTGGCAGGGGACACTGATCAAAGTGGAGCAGCAGCTTTTGAGAGCTCTGCTTCTGTTCTGTGATGTAGAAGGAGAGGAATAAAGTTTGTTGCACAACTGCCTAAATACTGTGTCTTGCCTACCTCCTTAAACTGGAGTAGTGTGCATCTTGCCTACCTCCTTAAACTGGAGTAGTGTGCATGAAGTACATCCTTGAGATTTCTTTGGTGCTGTATTAATGAGGAGCATGAAGGCTGAATGACAAGGCTGATCTGGATCTAAGAAAAGACCAAACCATTAGATGTGGCTCTTGGGCTGAAGGTGGGTAATGTTTTGTTCTTAATTAACAATTCATGATGTGTTCTAGCCTTGACTATGTTGGCTTGCCAGATCTGTCCCTTATCCAGCAAGAAGTGGATGCCCTGGAAGAATTGAGTCGGCAGCTTTTCCTGGAAACTGCTGACTTGCATGCAACAAAGGTACACAGCAAGTAACTGCCCAGATGGGTGTTGGGAGGTCAGAGTAGTTTGAAAGAATACATGTGTTATGAGAAATTGAAACCTGTTCAATAGGTAAATGGTGCAATGATGTAAGGCAGTGGAGTGAGGATCTGGTTCTTTAACTTTGGGGTAGGTGACAGTTCCCTTCCAGTTTAGATCCATCCTTGAGTCTGCCCCATGGCCCTATAACCATTCACAAGCTTATGAATTAACACTTGGGACGTCAGAAACATTTGAATTAAAAGATGTAGAAAGACAGGGCTGTATTTGCTGCTGTTGGTGCTACATTATAATTTATTTTGTGGGTGACTGTGAAAATGACATATTTTTTTATGTTCTACTCCCTCTTTTTGTATTTCCAGGAAAGAATAGAGTATTCCAAAACTTTCCAGGGAAAATACTTTAACTTTTTGGGTTATTTTTTCTCCATCTATTGTGTCTGGAAAATCTTCATGGTATGTAAATGTTTTATTGCATTTTCTGTGGATGTATGTAAATATACCCTGCATAAATTATGCTATGCATGCAGTTCATTAAGTAATGCTCTAGTTTCTTTAAAATCCAGAAATTCTGAAGCTAGCCCTTGGTTGAAATAAAACTCTGGATCTGGCTTTTTCCATACAGCATCAGACCAGTAATTCTTATATGCATGTTTTTTTTTTTTGCCTTCTTTGGCAATCTGACCACCCCCTGCCCTTTCCTTGGTGGTACAATAGAATAGTCATGCATGATCCTCACCTGTGAGAGTGAGAAATGCTTTTGCCTTTTTGCTTGAATGTAAATCCATCTCTCTTGCAGGCAACCATCAATATTGTATTTGACCGTGTAGGGAAGACTGATCCAGTCACAAGAGGAATTGAGATCACTGTAAATTACCTAGGAATCCAGTTTGATGTGAGCCTTTATTCATTCTTACAGCCTTTTCAGCAATTCATATCTTATCTGAATAAAATCCTGCTGCTAGGGAAAAAGTGATAGACCCTGAGAATGTGGCTTTGGCTTTTGACTTACTGAGGAGGAAAGGAAAATGCACCATGAATGTTGCTTTCACACTGATTTTATGCTGAGATGGTGATGTGGTCTTGCCAGAGAGGCAGTGATTTGTTGTTTTTTTTGTTTTGGGAAACTAGAAGCACTTTAGACAATCTTCTTAGATTAATATATTTAGCTAAAGAGTATTTTGATGTAAATTTTGATTGTTTGTGCAAATAGTTGTTCTGCCATTTACACTTCTAAAAGATATCCCAGTGAAAATGGGGTTCTTTGTGTTTCATATAAACTAAATCTCTTGTGTTTGGAGTAAACAGTTGCTAATATATTGGTGAAAATGTCTGTTTTATAAACCTGTCTACAATGGACATCTGTACAGTTAGGAGAGACAAAGACCCTGAAGAATTGACAGCTGTACAGTGTGGTGTACATGAGGTTAGTCAAAGCTTTAACTGTGTTCTTCTTGTTGACACAGGTCAAATTCTGGTCTCAGCATATTTCCTTTATTCTTGTTGGAATAATCATTGTTACCTCTATCAGAGGGTTGTTAATCACACTTACAAAGGTAAGAACCAGGAATATTAAGTGGTTTTTCACAGAGAAAATAATTATCATATCAGTCATTATCCTTTTGATACAGGAACAAGTACTGTATAAACTTTCAGTTTGCATTTATGTTTAAATATCTGAATATAAATTCTTGCAGAGGGAGGAAGGTAGGAAGAATACCTTTTGCAGGATTTTTCCCCAGTCTCTGTCAGGAAGGGATCTAGATGTTAAATAAAATGCTGAAGATTGCAGGTGTTCAAAAAGGTGCTGTAGCAAGGCCTTATGGGTAAGGTTGATGAGATGATGATTAAAAACATTTGGATTATTTAATTTAAACTGCTGGTAGGACTGAAAGGAATTAACAGAAATGTGACTCCTTGACTTGACCTGGCCTTTGGTACCTATGCTTAAACTTCTCTTTCGTGATTTTTAACACAAGGTGCAACTGGCTGGGGGAGACTGATGTTTCAGACTAGGGTTTATGAAAGGCTTATGCACGTTTGAGGTTTATGAAAGTAGGCTACAGGTAGCCCTCTAGAATGTATGGTTTTGATTGGGAATCTTTAGATGAAAAGATACTGAATGGTATGTACCTTTCACACTGTCCTAAGGAACATCAGACTTATCTAACTGCTTATTTCCAATATTTTTGGGTTTTTTTCCCTAGTTCTTCTATGCCATTTCCAGCAGCAAGTCCTCCAATGTTATTGTTCTGCTGCTAGCACAGATAATGGTGAGTATGGAGAGCCGTGGGCACACCCATGTGCATTTCTGCATGCATAGCTTGTGTGTGTTTAAACACATAACAGTATTTTTGTGTGCTGCACCCTGTTAGCCACAGAGCCTGTGATGGAGCAATAACTGCTGTCCCTGTTTTAACTTCCAGGGGATGTACTTTGTGTCATCAGTGCTCCTGATCCGAATGAGCATGCCTCCAGAATACCGCACCATTATTACAGAAGTCCTGGGAGAGCTCCAGTTCAACTTCTATCACCGTTGGTTTGATGTGATATTCCTAGTTAGTGCCCTGTCCAGTATCCTCTTTCTCTATTTAGCACACAAACAAGCCCCAGAAAAGCATATGGCCCTCTGAGGCAGAACTGCAGCCATGCACTGCTCTCTGTCCTGTCAGCTGCACTGCTGCAGCTCCTGTGGGTGGGTTGCAGAACTTGGAGAGACAGGACTGCTCTGTGTGTTCTGGCAGTGTAACTGCAAAACTTGGAGAGACAGGACTGCTCTGTGTGTTCTGGCTCCTTGAACCTCCACACGTGTCATCATCAAGCTCTGTGGCTCATTTTGTTCAGCGCCACAGCTGGAAGAGACGGGGGTGTGTGTATTAAACTTGAAACAGTTCGTTGCCAAGCAATCAAAGCAATCCTGGATACACCACTATCCAGGGGCATCAGAACTTGTGTGGTAGGCTGGCTGAGGGAACACCTCCTACTGTTGGAACAACATCATCACAGAAGGCACCAAGAAATGTGATTTTTCTTTTGAAAATCAACTTATAATTGGGATTTGGAGGATAGCAATTCTGGAATTGAATGTTTGAGTCTGTGGAATTAAATAAGCTTTTGTAATATGCAAGTATCACAGTTGTTTTTTGTCAGTCCCAAAGATTTGGCTGGATTTGAGCCAGAAGGTGGTTAGGATTTGCTGTCTGGCAGGAGTGGAGAGAACTCAATTTCTGTATGTAATGTGTGCTAGTGTGTATCATTAGTACCTACTATCCTCAGGAGCTGGAGATTTGCTTTCTCTTACTGAGCGTCAGCTTTTCTCTCTCTGCATAAGTGGAGCTGAGGTTTTGGGGTCCTCTTTGCTAGAGTTCAGTGTTAAGTCAAAGACCACTTCCATGCCTTGTTTACATTGTATGTTAAAAATTTTATTCCTGTGACTTAAAACTTTTAGGTTCCCATGACCGCGCTCTGAGTCCTTGTTTTATAATTGTTCTGGAACATAAATTGTAGCTGGTGAGAGTTAAGACTCAGAGAGGGGAAAATAACCACTCTAAACGATTTATTTCTGTATTGCCTTTGGTGTACATCACGGAGGCAAAGTACACAGCAGCAGTATTACAGAACCATTTATGTCACATTCAAGACAACATGGTGGTGACTTGGGGTTAGACAAACGTGCATGACTGCATTACATATACTATTGTCATCCACAGCTGGATGCAGAGGAGACAGAATAGTGATTAAACATCTTGAGCTGTGAGTTAGAAAGTTAGCTTGATGCTTTGAATGAAATTTCTGCAGTGTTAGCAGGAAAAAGGATCATAACGCACAGAGTACCTGGGCTTATGCCATTTCGGAGCAGCTATAGTGGTGTAAGCAAAGAGATGCCACAGAGATTGAGGTGAGGGACTTGGATTAGGGGGAGAGCTGACTTTCCTGGGAGATGGGCAGAAATCAATTTCTCTTTATTAAGAGCTTATCCATAACAGGCTAAAACGCTTACAAATCTATAAAACATTGCCAGCTTCTGCTGCAGGACACTTAATTATAAAGTTGCCTAAAGTTATAAAGTTCTTTAGGCCTTTCCAGAAATGAGTGACTGAGTGCCCACTTCACAAGGCAGAAATTGTGCCAGTGGAGCACAATTGCAGTGTTAAATGGATTGAAGTTACACTGAAGTGTTTATTGCAGCAAGAGTTTGCAGTCCTTTGTGGCCCTGGCACTCCTTGGAACAGCCAAGTTCTGAGAGGTGGAATAGCAGAGAAGAACTGAAGAAAAGATTTGGCACGTTTCTTTGTTGTTGTTGTTGGCGTAGTTTTGTCTCCTCACAACTTTGTGTCATCACTGTTGTCGCCGTCAGCTCTCGTGGAGGCAGCTGATTGTGAGGAGGAGGATGAGTCTGCCTGCAGAGGAGTAACAAAGACATTGTGATTATTTTCAGTTTGTAAACATGTTTGATAGTCTGCACTGTTGCAGACTCCTGTTTTCAGCTGCACTAATCAACACACTTGTTTAGATGGCAGAATGAACCAACAAATACCATTTTTGTTGTTGAAGGGTTTTTTTGGTGAAGTACATTTTGAGAGAAATTTGTTCAATAGAGGGTTTCTATTGTTGAATTCTCATATCTGTTCAATTTGAACACAAAAGTAGTGGTAACTACAGCAAAATGCAGCTTGGGGAACAAAGACATTCTTGAAAAAAACTTGCAGACAAGGCTAATGAAAAATAAATGGGGAAACTATTGGTCTTACCTTGTCTGTCTCTTTTGCATGATCAGAAAATAAGCATTTTAATATTTAAGGCTGACCATACAGAGGGTTAAAAGTGTTTCAAGAAGGAATACCTTCTCTGACTTTAGTCATGTTTCAGATTCTTTCTAGTGGCATGAAGTGAGTAAAATAATTTCAAATCAGCACATTGCCTAGAAAATGTCATCATAACCTCTCAATTGCTGTTCTTTCTCCAAAATGATCCATTTTGAAATTATTTTATGTGGTTTTCACAAACCTTATGTTTTCTGTGTATTTAAGCACTTTCCCCATCACTTCCACAATTGTATTGCTTGTTTCCCATCACTGGGATTACTGTATGTGGATTATACTTTTTCCATAAAATCTCTTGTATGTGCATTTTTGTGTGATTTAATCTTGCATTAAAGATGCTCACTTGTATTAGGGGCGGGGAAGAGTTGTGATAACAGCTTTCCTTTCAGTAACTTGCAAGAATCCAGGCTCAATTTAACAGTCCTAGCTCTGGAAAACTGAATACCTGAAAAAAAAGTTCTTTTCCTATGCCCTGTGCGATCCCTCAGCATCTGCCTTATGCAGGATTACTCACCCTTTCCCTTGGCTCAGGTGAGTTCCTCTCTGGCTCTGATGGATGGTTTTCTGTGTGAGCAGGAGGTTCAGAAGTGTCTGACTCTGCCATGGAGGCTGTGATGGGAATGTTTTGGCCTTGGAAGTACCTGTAGGCGTCTTTGCTGCACACCAGCAGTGTCAGTCTGTCCCCAGTGCTTTGGATCCTCGCCACCACTTTGTCATAGGATTCGTTGGTCACGTTCACTCCGTTCACTTCCACCAAGAAGTCGTTGTTTTCCACACCTGCTCCACCAGCTGGGCCCTGGCTTTGTACCTGCAGAGGGGAGTTCAAAGCAGGATATTGGCATAAAACTTGGAAAGATTCATTAACAGCTGTGTTTCTGCTTTCCCTAGAGGATGGTGAAATAAGCACGGGGAAGGGGAGATTCATGGGGCAGGAAGGAATTGGGATGGGCAATGGGCCCAGATGTAATAAACATGGAACCCATCAGTTTGAGATTTTAAGATGCTTCTTGATCTTGGTAGATAGGAATGTGGCATGGTAGAACTATGAAGACAGGTAGAAAAACAGTTTTCTAACTATTTGGAGGTCTCTATCCAATAATTTCAAAGTTTAGTACCATTCACAAATCCCTTAGTAATGCGTGGAACCCCTCCTCTCAAGAAAGCTGAAGTTACAGGTGTAATTTGGGACAGGAGTTTGGCTTTCACCAGCTGTGGAATTCAGAGAAGTGGGGCAAAGGTGTCTCTCCTGTAATTAATCTGTTCTACCTTAAAAACCAATTCTGTCTAAAATACTAATTTTAGTGTGCCAGACTCATGAATAAAAGCAAAAATTATGCAAAAGCTGATTTCTCCTTCCCTCTAGATGTCTTAACAGAAGAAGGAATGTTTTCTGGTGCTCATTTTTTATCTTGGATCAACAATGTCAGTCTGACTTAAGCAACTCTAGCTCTGATCTGAGAACATTGGAAAAGACTTCTGTGGCTTTTCTTGCATTTGTTTGCAGGATGGAGGGGAGGAAGCTGCCCAATAGACTACTTGAGCTTCTTGTTCCTCATTCTTCATTAATACCTCAGTGATGAACAATCCAGGTTTATTCTTGATCATGTTTAAACTGAAGCCAAATCCATTAGGTCCTTTCACCATTTTGCAGATCCTTGGCTTGTGGTTCACTTTCTGCTCAGTGTGCAACTCCACGCTTTCCTCCGTTTTAGCTGGGGTTGAATCCTGTGCTTTGTAGTAGTATGAGAAAGGGGAAACTTGAGCCTGAAAAAAGTGACAAAAATACTTCTGTTGGGAAATCTTTCAGGCTCTCCTGCTCAACGTATTTTGTTTGAAACTTTGTTAAGGACTCTGACTTCAGCTGCAGTGAAGAATTCTTCCTTATTCTGAGTGGAAAACTACAGTGTTGATCTCTATGTGAGAAGGGAACTTTGTAATTCATAAATGGTTACACAGTCATGTAGCTCTAAATTTGACAGCAAACTTTAACCTTGTGATGTGTTTGAATTTAGAATTGTTCCAATAGTGTCTATAAAAATGAGGAAGAGGCCAAACATTTGGGTATTTAGTGACTTCCTGTACAAGTGTAAGTGGAGTTGCTGGAATACAGGTATCTCTTGGATATTTCCTGCAAGTTGAAAAAGCATCAGAGCAGATTGGCTATTTCATTGTGATAAATTATCAATTCCTAGCAGTAGTTTGCATTTTCTTACCAGTTTGTACATGCTGTCAGTTTCCTTATCCACCACCAACAGGGAAGTTCTTTCCTCAGACTGCTTAATTTTTCCCACTACGCTTTCATGATCCAGCCCATCCACGCGCTCACCATTGACAGCCACTAAGATGTCATTGTCCTTTAGACCAGCCATGGCTGCTGGGCTTCCAGAATTAACATCTTTGATTACATGCTCTAAGATAAAAAGGGGAGAAAGATTCCTGTGAAGGCAGAGCTTGGTGAGTTTTAAAGGCATTAAAAAGCATGGCAAAGGTAAATGGTCAAAATTGCACTTGCGGTTGAGGCTGTTTTCCCTGAGCATTTCCAGATGGCCAGTAAGAAGCCAAAGAGAATGAGGGCTGCAAACATCATATGGGAAGATAAGGTGCAGCACAGGTCATGGTCTGTGTGTTAACTTGGATCTTACCACCAGTATTTTGTTCCATCCGTAGATAAAATCCATAACCACTTTTTCCTTTCTGGATCTCAATTAGTCATGGTTTGAGGGGAAGCAACCTTAGGCTGGCGTTCTCTTTGCTCAGTGCCATCCTCTGGCTTGTGAAATAGCGGTCTGTTTCTTCATTTGAAAGTAGAAACATAACATGATTTTCAGACTTCTTTACCTGTGACAGCACATGTACAGTCTCAGATGTCACCCCTTCAACAGCATGTGGGAATTGTGGATATTGGGTAACTGGTGCACTGATACCTAGTGGAGTCTGGGTGCTGTTAGTCCAGGCCATGCTACTATAGATTGATTTTTCTTTCCCCCCCTCCAGTAAGAAATTTAGACCACAACAAAATCAGGGGCATGTAATATATGAGGCAATTTTCCATATTTCATACTGTGTTTCTGACCTGGTGGGAATTACCTGTGAAGGGCCATGGGGGTGGCATAGAGTGCTGTAGAATCCAAGGAGCCTGAGTAGATAGTATTTGGTGTGGAACTCTACAGTATAGACTTACTGTGCCATCTGTACCACTATTTTAGATTACAGTGCCAGGAGTCAAGTTTCTGTCATTCTTGGGACTCTTCTCTCTCCCTGTATTACTGATTCTGAGGTGAGGGGTTTCTTTCTGTCTG